GTCAGAGAGACACTCACGGGAATTTAACTAGCATTAGATCAAGGACAGTGTCTTTGTCAAGAATCTTCCTGAATAAATTGGAAAAACAGCTCTAAAATGTGTGCATTTATATGTTAATGATAAGCAAAATAAAACTTTTTTCCTGGGTTTGCAATTCATGAAAGTGGTTTGTGATCATTATATTTAAAAAAAAAAAGAAAAATTTTATTGTTCCTTTTGCAGCAGGAACAATAAAATTATTCTATTAAGTATTGGTGAGAAATATTTCAGCCTTTAAAATAATGTATTTTTAAGAAAGAAACACTTAACTGCTGTTTCATTTATATTTACTGATATACTTCGAATCTGGCCTAACCATTGTTTTATTATTCAAGTAATTATCTAAACAATACTTCCCAACTTTGAAACTAATTCTAATGTGAGAGATTTTAGCGCTTATCTTATAGCTAAGAAAAACCCACCAGTTTAATTAGCATAAGAAGAATTACTACCTTTTCCTTGTCAGTAACTTAAAAATGGAATACAGGATAAGCAAAACTGTGTAAGCCTTGAATCTCTTTCCTTCTCGCTAAAGAAATCTAGTCAGAGAACCTTTTATACTGAAAAAAGAATTTCTTTATTTAAAAGATACAATATTTATTTCAATTGTTTATTTTGAAAGAGAGCCTTTTGACCGGGCGCGGTGGCTCACGCCTGTAATCCAGCACTTTGGGAGGCCCAGTCGGGCGGATCACGAGGTCAGGAGATCGAGACCATCCTGGCTAAAACGATGAAACCCCATCTCTACTAAAAACACACAAAAAATTAGCTGGGCGTGGTGGCGGGCTCCTGAGGCAGGAGAATGGCGTGAACCCGGGAGGCGGAGCTTGCAGTGAGCAGAGATCCCGCCACTGCACTCCAGCCTGGGCGACAGAGCGAGACTCTGTCTCAAAAAAAAGAAAAAAGTCTTTTGCATTTGGATTTTATTTATGTATATATGCATATATTGTAAACGCAGACACACAATTCTCTATGTAGTCTATATAGTTCTATATAGTAAGTATAAGGCATTGAGGAAAGACAGAGCACTGTGGGCTACCGTATATTTAAGGCAGGAAGGAAGAGGCAGGAAAGGGCACTTTATAAAATGGAGCCAGGAATGCGGGAAGAGCTCAAAATGCACACAAGGAAGTCCTATACACTCCCTTTGCAACAGTCTGCAAAATGAGGGAAACTGGATGAGGTGCATGAGTCACCGTGTCTATAACATGAAAGCAGAACAACTGCTCTGGCAGAAATCTGGGTTCGGTTTCTGAAGTCGTTCACTTTGGCTGAATATTCTCACCTCACGTTAGGCAAGAGCCTGGACTAAGTGATTATTTGGAAGAAACCAAAAAAGTTGTCTTTCCTCTAAAATGTATATTCTCTTAGACTCTTGTGGGTTTGGAAGTAGAAATTCAGAGGTGTTGAGATTTAAGGGCCCTGTCTAATTACAGTTTTAAAAATTATTTCTCAGATACAATAAAATTATATTTATTCAGTTATATGAGGGGAGAACTTAAGAATTATGTTAGACAATGGATACAGATAGTATTTAATCATTCAATATTATTAACATTTAATTTTAGTAAAAAATTACTGAAAAATAATATTTAAAGACACCCTCAATACAGAGCGCTACAAATGTAGAAATTCAGGAGATCATATCAACTCTGAAACAAGCAGTAAATTGTTTAATATTCCTAAAACTTTAACCCATTTGAAGAGATTAGAAAAGGGACAGTTTCCAGGCATTCCTCTAGCTTTTAGCTTTAGCGTGAGATGTGTCTTACAGTCAAGAGTTGATGCTGAGGGTTACAGCTCTACCTTCAAGTGTCAGTATGACTCTAGGCCAATCATATTTCTTTTCTTGAAAGATGAGAGGGTATCAAAATTAGTGGTTGCAGGTGCTCTTAGTCATGCCATCACACTGATTGTAATTACAGAGGTACCTTATTCTGTCCCTTTGGTAAAATGCTTTTTCATGAGCTGAGGGCAGACATGGTAAATATGACCACCAGATGGCAGTAGTGCACTCTGGAGAAATGGTTCCAGGCCGTCGTTCCCTTTTCTGTTTTCCCCTCACTAAACTCTCCGCTAGGTGACAGCAGCATGAATATAATTGGAACGGCCATTAATGGATTATGTTAAAAAAAAAAAAAAACAGCTTTAATTCTCCTGTTGAGTCTGGGAGGAGCACTTTTAAAAAGTATGCACAGTTGGAATTTTTTTGAAAGAAAATTTAATATACTGTTTGCTTTTAGGCCTCCCACACACTCACCTAATATACAAAAACAAAGCAAAAATATACAAGATAAGTTTGAGGGGAGGGTGTGTACAAAAACCTGGGGAAGATTATTGTTGAAACTAAATTATTATAACTTAAGAACTGGTGGAGCCAGGTGTTCTCACCCCAATTTAGGTTAAAAAAAGTTACTAAAATAGTCAGTGTTGAAGATAATTATTATTTATTGACTACCTGTTATGTGAGAAGGATTGTATTTAAATATTTTAGAAACACTAGTTCATTGAATCTGGATGAGAACTTCTCAAGAAAGCCGATTTCAACATAAGCCTGTTTAGGGCCGTCGCCTCTGCATTTTCCATGACTTTATGCCCTTTCTGTTCCATTTTCACAAAAACCTGTACTGTAGAAGGCGAAATTGGAACTTCCTTTAAGGTATTATTTTGAGTGTAAATAGAGATAAATTCTCTTTATTTATAAGTTGCCCTCACATGTAGATGCATAATATTAATTCAGTGCAGGACAATAATATATTTTGATTTTACAGTTACATCAAAAGCTAAAAATGAAGGTGATTTGGGAGCAGTAGGAAAGTAATAAACTCATTTATGATGAAACAGAAATGACTGATAGTATCATAAATAAGAATAGAAGAGGGATAGGGAGAATAGAAGAATACTAGGTGCTTGACCAGAATTGACTAGGCAGAAGAGAAAGGTAATGAGTTGGGGGCAAGGGAGACAGGAATTCAGTTAAGCAGCCTTTACACTTTTATGGTTACTACTGCTTATTGCCTTTAGAAAGCCTTACCCATGCTTAATCCTACGCAGCCACATGTAACCTGATGCAGCACAGATGCTTTCCATGTGTGGCAGAGACCTGAACATGTTGTGAATCCCTTAGAGGTAAACTTCGGGCAGGTAAGCTTTGAAGGCAGAGTAATAGCAGGTAATATCTATGTCCACAGTGAGAGTGATAAAGTCCCTGATACTTTATTTCATGTAATTCAGTTTTAAAATTCTCCTGTAATTCAATTTTAAATTGGACTGGAACCTTCCATGGAGGAGAAGAGGAATAAAAAATCAGGGACTACAAATATGGCTAACACCATTTTTTTTTCTATACAACAACTTTATTGTTCAGTAAAACTGTCTTTTTTTTTGAGATGGAAGTCTCATTCTGTCACCCAGGCTGGAGTGCAGAGGCACAATCTCGGCTCACTGAAACCTCTGCCTCCCAGGTTCAAGCGATTCTCCTGCCTCAGCCTCCCAAGTAGCTGGGACTACAGGCGCCCACCACCACACCCTGGCTAATTTCTTATTTTCAATAGAGACAGGGTTTCACTATGTTGGACAGGCGGGTCTCGAACTCCTGACCTCATGATCCACCCACCTTGGCCTCCCAAAGTGCTGGGATTACAGGCGAGAGTCACCACGCCCATCCCAAACTGTCTTTTACTGTACTTTATTTCAAGCGTCTTTAAGATAAATACAACAAAATGATATGGCAATATCAAAGAACAAAATCTGACTTTAGGCTCATGGGAAGAAGAGAAAGTTCCTCTTTTATTTCTTGCTTAAGGCAGCCTTTGGCTGGGTTGCTTATAGATGAGAAAGGAGTGGGAATGAGGGGTTTAGGAAAGGATATTCTAGAAGGAAGGGCAGGGTGATGACTTGATTCCCCATCTGTATCTACAACCATGTCCCCAGGTATCTGCAGACAATGGAAGGTAAACTCAGGTTGTCAATTAGCTAGCACAAATTAATAATAACAACAGCCTTTAACTAAGCAACTGTTTATTTCGAGCCAGATACTGTTCATACCTGTTTTGTATTTGGTCCTTTGGCCAGCCCTGTTGGGCAGGTAATATCATTCCTTCTCTGAGAGAATAACTTGCCAGAGTCTGTTAGCAAGTAGCAGTTAGGCTTCAAACTCTGTTCTCTTAGCAGTATTCCCTCTGCTTTCCTAGGGACCCCCAACTAGGCCATGGTTGGCAATATATACACACTAACTGCCACCAGGGGTCATAGCCAATTTGGATAAATTGGATCTAAATGTAATTAATTATGTAACTATAACCTATCCAAGTTTAATTCTATTAAAATTGCAGCCTGAAACTGGGGCATCATAGATGATTACTGGGGAAATAAGAATAGATTTGAATAAGATATTTCTCTCCTTCCTTTTTTTCTGACTTAAACAGAAATACAGGAAAATAAAACAGAGAATGAATCTAACTCAGTTGGCAGCACAACCAGAAGATTTTTATCCCAGCTACCCAGCAGTTGGTTAAAAAAAAAATTATCAGCTCAAACTTTTCTGGTGATTGCAGGAGGATGAGGTGGTAAAGAGTTAACAGTATTTTTAAAACAAGGTTAATATAGTTTAAGCATGAAAACAAAGCTGCTGACAATTTTTGATACTGTTTGCTCCCTATGAAGATATTTAATGTGGGTTGCATATAGTAACTGTTCTGTGATTATGGTCCTCAGAATTCCTGCTTCCCAAAGGACAAAGCTCAGGCTGGAACTCTTACAAAGCTTTTATAGAACAAAGTGGAGAAGCCAGAATGCCACATTCGACATTCACGTTCTTCAGGACAATTACATTTAATAGTACAATCAACAATCCATTCACACTGCATGTACTTTGCTTTTGTTATTTTTTGGGGGGGTTTCAAATGTTTATCAGAAAAAAGTTTAGGAAATTTAAAGTAGCTCTGACTGCTGCAGTTTCCTCAGGTGAAAAAAGTAATAATAGTCACTATGGCAACCAAGATGGAGATGATGGCAAGTAAAATCAGACCCATACGACAAAATTTTGAATGCTTCTCTTGTTTCTCTTCCTTTTTCAATAAAGTGTCAAAACCTGGAGTGTACATGTCTCCCAACCAAAACCGCAGGTCGTTAGGATTTTCCTAAAAGAAAATTACATGGAGAATATGATTAATCAGTAATCAGTCAGTGTTACAAATTAATTGAGATTGCAGAACAAGACACTGTCATGGGGACTGATGGTCCATATTCACTCTGTCCTGGGCAAGGCTTCAATGTCATGGCTCACATGAGTGATACGAGGCTTCCTTGAATAGCATAAAAATGTAGCTACAGTCTCCTGGCTGACAAGGAATCCCTGCAGTTCCAATTTGTAGGTCTGCATCAGAATTAATTAGGAGGCCTTCGTGAGTCTTTAATTAAATTGCTCACATTAGAAGGTCAGAAACACAACAGTGTTTCTATCATGTTGTAGCCAATTTAGTGTTCCTTACATCCTATAAATAGTGCATATAATTCAGCATAGTACGTTGAAATAAAATGAAAATTCTTTGCTTTAGATTAACCTTTGAGGTTTGATTTTGTCTGCATGGCAGGAATAAACATGCTTGGTGGGGTTTTCAGTAAATCCAGAAGCTGACTTCCATGGAAGTAGTAGGACTAAAAGTCAGGAGTCTCTTCCATTACTCTTGACCCACTGATTTTCCTTGTAGAGGGCTGCCACATGTCTGGCATGCAGAAACTTTGTTGGACCTCCTGAAAAAATGACCCATTATATTCTTCCCCACATCAGCTCTTATTTATTCCCCATGTCTCTCTTTCTTTCACAGACTTCATCTTCCCTTCCAGGCCCATAGAATTATCAAGTCAACCTGATCTCCTGTGCCTGATAAATCACGTGCAAACTCTACTGTTCATACATTAATAAAAATACTTTTTTTCCTGTTACATCTCTTGCTATGTTTTGGTGCTGTAGATTTGGTGTCTATGCCTTATATACAACAAATTTACAGGGAATACTCAATCTCTGCTTTCACAAACCTACTTCATGCTTCATTATATTTCACCTGCTTTGTTGTAATGGCTTACAGTGGACTGCCCCCTCTCTTTGCCTCTCCAGTCTCAGAAGACTTAAAGTCAGCTGAAATGTGGCACAGCAAGTTTTCTTTCTCAGCGTCAGGGGTCAATGAACTAGCTTCAGACTTCCAGGTGCACTGCTGGGAGAGGAATGTGCATGCGTGTATGAATAGAAAGTGAGGATAGATTCTGATGATGGCAAAACAATTCTCCCTAGTACTAGTTTGAACTTCTTAGTTTTAGAAATGCTAAAATGTTAAAATAAAATATGGATGATCTGTGAAGAAGGATAATGATGTAAAAATCCTTCTCTACCTCATGCCTATCTTTCATTTTGTGTCCTAATCAGAGGCCTGCACTTCGTAAGTTTAATGCCTCTGTTCTCCACTAAGAACTTCACTCATAGAGACTATTTTGTCTTACATTCTGCTTCTAGCTTTCCTTTGTAATTAAATATGGATTTCTTTTCTCTTTTCTGGCTTATAAACTCTTACCAATGTAGAAAAATGGGAGTGACCACAGGGACTTGGGTTTATAGCCGAAAAGTGGTGTCAAGGTTTCAGAAAATAAGTTAGGGGGTCTATGAGATATAGACAGGGGTGAAGATGAAAGTTGAATTAATGAGGTAGAAAAAATTTTAATGAAAACAAAAGTTATGGCTTTTGTTATGACTGAGTAGGGGAGGGAGCAGGTCCTGATTGTAGTAAAACATGGCACTCATTGTATTTATGGCTTATTCTTCCTAAACATAACTCATATAATTGTCCAGCTTAAAAAATTACTCCTTATTGCCAATAATCTTCAATTTCATAAGCATAACATTCAAACATTTTTTAGCTTTATTTTCTAGCCTTACTTTCCCATTATTCTATTACTTAACCTGTAGCTCCTATATTTCTGCCTTTGCTCTTGCTACTCCTGAAAAAAGAGCCTTCCCACTTAGGCAAGCCATCTATACCTTTTGGAATTCTATACATCCTTCCAGCCCATAATAAGTTTGCTTTTTCATGAATTCCTTTTATAAT